CTTTCTTTCTTTATTCTTACAACTTATTGTTTTTTTTATTTTTTATTTCACCCCTTTCTCTGTTTTGTCTATAAATTTCTTTCTTTCCTCCTTTCTTTCTTTCTTTCTTTTTTTCTTTTCTTTCTTTCAATGCATTATTGCATTATTTCGTTATTTTTTTCCGTGTATTCTTTCTTTCTTTCTTTCTTTCTTTCTTTCTTTGATTTCTTTCTTTCTTCGTTTATTCTGAAACTTATTGTTTTTTATTCTTCTTATTTCACCCCTTTCTCTGTTTTTGTCTATAATTTCTTTCTTTCCTTCTTTCTTTCTTTCTTTCTTTCTTTCTTTCTTTCAATGCATCTGAAACAGACATTATTTCATTTTTTTTCCGTTTATTCTTTCTTTCTTTCTTTCTTTCTTTCTTTCTTTCTTTCTTTCTTTCTTTCTTTCAATGCATTATTGCATTATTTCGTTATTTCTTTTCCGTGCATTCTTTCTTTCTTTCTTTCTTTATTCTTACACTTATTGTTTTTATTTTTTTATTTCACCCCTTTCTCTGTTTTGTCTATAATTTCTTTCTTTCTTTCCTCCTTTCTTTCTTTCTTTCTTTCTTTCTTTTTTTCTTTCTTTCTTTCTTTCTTTGTTTATTCTGACACTTATTGTTTTTATTTTTCTTATTTCACCCCTTTCTCTGTTTTGTCTATAATTTCTTTCTTTCCTTCTTTCTTTCTTTCTTTCTTTCTTTCTTTCTTTCAATGCATTATTGCATTATTTCGTTATTTCTTTTCCGTGCATTCTTTCTTTCTTTCTTTCTTTCTTTCTTTCTATGCATTATTGCATTATTTCGTTATTTCTTTTCCCTTTATTCTTTCTTTATTTCTTTCTTTCTTTCTTTCTTTATTCTGACACTTATAGTTTTTTTTTTTTTTATTTCACCTTTCTCTGTTTTGTCTATAATTTCTTTCTTTCCTCCTTTCTTTCTTTCTTTCTTTTTTCTTTCTTTTGGTTTCTTTCTTTCTTTCTTTCTTTTCAATGCATTATTGCATTATTTCGTTATTCTTTTCCGTTTATTCTTTCTTTCTTTCTTACTTTCTTTCTTTCTTTCTTTCTTTCTTTTTTCTTAAAAGTATTGTTTTTATTTTTTTATGTCACCTTTTCTCTGTTTTGTCTAAATTTCTTTCTTTCCTCAGACAGGATTTCTTTCTTTCTTTTCTTTCTTTTTTCTTTCTTTCTTTCTTTCAATGCATTATTGCATTATTTCGTTATTTCTTTTCCGTGCATTCTTTCTTTCTTTTTCTTTCTTTTTTTCTTTCTTTATTCTTACAAGTATTGTTTTTTACAGTTTTTATTTCACCCCTTCTCTGTTTTTTTGTCTATAATTTCTTTCTTTCCTCCTTTCTTTCTTTCTTTCTTTCTTTTTTCTTTCTTTATTTCTTTCTTTCTTTCTTTCTTTCTTTCTTTCAATGCATTATTGCATTATTTCGTTATTTCTTTTCCGTGACATTCTTTCTTTCTTTCTTTCTTTTTTATTCTTACAAGTATTGTTTTTTTTTTTTTATTTCACCTTTTCTCTGTTTTGTCTATAATTTCTTTCTTTCCTCCTTTCTTTCTTTTCTTTCTTTCTTTCTTTCTTTCTTTCTTTCTTTATTCTGACACTTATTGTTTTTATTTTTCTTATTTCACCCCTTTCTCTGTTTTGTCTATAATTTCTTTCTTTCCTTCTTTCTTTCTTTCCTTCTTTCTTTCTTTCTTTCTTTCTTTCTTTCAATGCATTATTTCATTATTTCGTTATTTCTTTTCCGTGCATTCTTTCTTTCTTTCTTTCTTTCTTTCTTTCTTTCTTTCTTTCTATGCATTATTGCATTATTTCGTTATTTCTTTTCCCTTTATTCTTTCTTTATTTCTTTCTTTCTTTCTTTATTCTGTTTTTAGTCTTATAGTTTTTATTTTTTTATTTCACCCCTTTCTCTGTTTTTGTCTAATTTCTTTTTTTTCCTCCTTTCTTTCTTTCTTTCTTTCTTTCTTTCTTTCTTTCAATGCATTATTGCATTATTTCGTTATTTCTTTTTTCATTTATTCTTTTTCTTTCTTTCTTTCTTTCTTTCTTTCTTTCTTTATTCTTACACTTATTGTTTTTATTTTTTTATGTCACCCCTTTCTCTGTTTTGTCTAAATTTCTTTCTTTCCTCCTTTCTTTCTTTCTTTCTTTCTTTCTTTCTTTCTTTCTTTCTTTCTTTCAATGCATTATTGCATTATTTCGTTATTTCTTTTCCGTGCATTCTTTCTTTCTTTCTTTCTTTCTTTCTTTCTTTCTTTCTTTCTTTATTCTTACACTTATTGTTTTTATTTTTTTATTTCACCCCTTTCTCTGTTTTGTCTATAATTTCTTTCTTTCCTCCTTTCTTTCTTTCTTTCTTTCTTTCTTTCTTTCAATGCATTATTGCATTATTTCGTTATTTCTTTTCCGTGTATTCTTTCTTTCTTTCTTTCTTTCTTTCTTTCTTTCTTTCTTTCTTTCTTCGTTTATTCTGACACTTATTGTTTTTATTCTTCTTATTTCACCCCTTTCTCTGTTTTGTCTATAATTTCTTTCTTTCCTTCTTTCTTTCTTTCTTTCTTTCTTTCTTTCTTTTTTCGTTTATTCTTACACTTATTGTTTTATTTTTTATTTCCCCCCTTTCTCTGTTTTGTCAATAATTTCTTTCTGTTTTTTCTCTGTTTCTTTGTTTCTTTCTTTCTTTTGTGTCTTTTGTTTCTTTTTTCTTCCTTTCTATATTTGTTTGTTTTATTCTTTTTTCGTTTCCTTATTTCGCTTTTTTGCTGTTTTATTTCTTTTATCTTTTCTTTCTTCCTTTTTCTTCCCTTGCTTTTCTACTTTCTTTTCTTTCATTCATTTTTTTCTTTTTCCCCTTTTCCTTATTTATCGTATTTCTTTTTTCTATCTTTTCCTTTTCCTGTATTCATTTTCTTCCTTTTTCTCTTTCATTTGTTTTCTTTGTTTTTGCTTTTCTTCTTCCCTTTACTTTCTTTCTTTCTTGCCAATTAACTTTTTCACCAATTAATTTTTGCAATCAATAGGGTCAAACAAATGTTGACTTTATATAAATAGTTAGATTGTCGATGACACTGACGTGACAAAAGTCCAGTGTTTTTAGAAAACCCTGTAACACGATGAAGGGCACTATCTTGAGATGTAATAAAGTATTTGTAGAATAACAATAATAAAAAGCACGTACCGGCGTAAGAGTTCCAACTAGCGTCCAGCTGGCAGACAAAAATAAAGCAGGTTGTAACTTAATACATATCCTGCAAACTGAGAAATCATGCTAGTATTTATATAGTAATAATTTCCACTCAGGTACCAGCAGCCAATCACAGCCCAAGCAATGGACTATCCACTTCCAGCATAATGAGATGCTCCATTGCACCATAAATAACTCTGTCTCTATGTTGAATTAGTCTTCCTCAGCTTGCTCCACAACTGGTGGTTATCTTGACCACGTGATTGTTCGACATGGCGCTGCGAACGGGATTTATGACCCCTGAAAATTGGGAACTCTTCTTCTTCATTGAAGCAGGCATATCCACCGACTCGGCAAAACTCATGCAACAAGGTTTGCGGACGAGAAGCTGACAATCGAGAGCCTTCAAATGCTGGATCGATCTATGCTTAGGAGCTGGGAGTCACATTAATGGGAGAAGCCCTGTGTGTCATTAAGCAGGCTAAAGGAATCCACCACCAGACAACCCGCATTCAGGCACTAGCAGCCAAGCCTCCTCATCTCAATCTCGAGATGACACCACAGCAATTCAGGAAGTTCAGAATTGACTGGGATGTCTTTACCAAGATGACAAATATGCCAAACTCCCAAGCTAATATTCACCTATACAATTGTGCTGATGAGGCTGTGCAAAAATGCCATAATCAACACACACCTGACTTCTTTACCACTGATCCTGATAATCTACTTGACATGGTAGAAGTGTTGGTCACCCAGAGGTCAAGTCCTATTGTCCATCGCTTTGCTTTTTGCCTCCATGTCTCCAGGATGCTGATGAGCCAATACAAAGTTACCTTGTCCGCCTCAGAGCCGTAGCCGTTGATTGTAACTTTACCTGCCCCTCGTGTGAACATGACCTGTCTGATATATACATCAGGACCAGATCATCCGTGGAATAGCAAATGACACACTCGGGCTGACCTACTGGCCAAAGCTGGGGCGCCGAATCCCTTGAACAAAATATCCGTCATGCTGAGGCATTTGAATCAGCATTGCGGGACCAAACCTCAATAGCAAGTGCTTCAGATACAGCTGCTGCTCGACTATCAACATACCGCAGACAGAAGGGTACACCCACAAGCCAACGAGGCGATCCGTACCAGCACCTGTTGCAACTGCAATGTTAAACCAGGCTTGCTTAGGTTGTGGCAGCCACCAGCATGGCACCTCCAGAACTGAATCACGCCAGCTAAAATGCCCAGCGTAAGGGACAAACATGTAGTAATTGTGGGAAGCCCAATCACCTATCGAGGGTATGCCGGGCTGAGAAACCAGCTCAAGCGGTCAGGAAAAGCCTGAGGGCTAATGAAGCCGCCATGGACACACTTATCGCCCACCCATTCAATCAAACGACAGGCACGTATACGTCCTAAAGACACAGGCCAGATAAGGGAAATTGATGCATATATTTGTTCCATTTTCGCCAAAACCGGATCCAAGACAAATTAAGAATATCCCCAGAAATCACAGCACTAGGATGACAATCTTTCCTGACAGTGGGGCCACCATATGTCTCCGGGGACTTAAGCACCTTCTGAATATGGGGCTCACTATCGACAACCTCATTCCATCAGAAAAGTCGTCCGAGCTGTGGGAGCTTTACGCTTGTATGTCAGGGTTGGCTCCCCGTGGAATTCATCGTCCAGGAAGAACAACTAAACAAGCCCTATACATATGCAAAAAGATTCAGCGGCTATACTTCAGCAAAGCAGCCTGCATTGATGTAGGGATACTGTCCAAAGACTTCCCGAAGCCAACAACTACAATATTACCCCAAACAACAATGCAACACATGCCCTCGACAAGCACACATAAAAAATCGGACGTGAGCCTAAACAATGCAAAGTCGAGGGACAACTTCCAACACGCCCAAAAACTCCTTTTCTTCCAACAGAACAAAACATTGATAAGCTCAAGAATTGGCTATTAAATCAATTTGCCGAAACGGCGTTCAAGAACAATGGTGAATTCCCACCGATGTCTGGCCCCACTGCACATATACACCTCAAAGAAGGAGCAGTCCCAAAGCAAGACATAACCCAATTCCTGTGCCTTTTCACTTCAAAGAGCCCGTAAGACAGGCCCTTTGGGAAGATGTGAAAAAGGGGTATCATAACCCCAGTACCCGTTGGCATGCCCGCTGATTGGTGTAGCACTATGGTAATTACCGCAAAAAAAATGGCAAACCACGAAGAACCATAGACTACCAACACCTGAATTCACAGTGCAAACGGAAACACACCATACAGGGTCACCATTCAGCTAGCACTACAAGTGCCACCTAAACAAAAAAAAGAAAACAGTGTTGGATGCTGTTGATGGATATCATTCCATCCCCCTTAGATAAAGAGTCCCAGCCACTCACCACCTTCATCACAGAATGGGGAAGGTTCATGTACCTGAGAATGCCACAAGGTTACCTAGCATCTGGCGATGCCTACACCCGAAGATATGATGAAGTAATAAAAGACATCCCCCGCAAAGTAAAAATCGTGGATGACACCCTACTCTATGACTCTGACATCGAAGGGCCTTTTTCACACCTTCGATTTTCTCCTCCATTGTGCAAAAAAACGGCATCGTAATAAATAGAGAAAAATTCCAATTTTGCCAAGACACGGTGCAGTTTGGGGCCTCCAAATAACATCTTCTGGTGTAACCCCTTCTAAATCCATGCTGGAGGCAATATTGAGCTTCCCAATACCAAAGACACTCACCGATGCCAGATCATGGTTTGGGCTGGTCAACCAAGTCGCTTGGGCATATTCACTAAGCCCAGTCATGCTTCCATTTCGTGATCTCGTAAAACGAGACTCACACTTTACATGGAATAAAAGCCTGGAGGATGCATTCCAGCAGTCAAAGAAGGTCATAGTTGACTTAGTCCGAAAAAGGCATCGCAACATTTCAAAAAGAAAGAATAACCTGCCTTGCCCCAGATTGGAGCAAAGACGGAATGGGCTTCCTACTTCTGCAGAAGTATTGCTCATGCACCACTGACAAAGCCCCAGTTTGCTGCCCTGAAGGTTGGCGCCTGATATTTGCTGGTAGCAGATTCTGCATTGATGCTGAACGCAGATATGCACCTATTGAAGGCGAAGCAGCAGCAATTGCATGGGCATTGGGAAAATGTCGGATTTTTGTAATGGGTTGCCCGAATCTCATAGTGGTTACAGATCATGAACCACTAAAAGGATTATTCGGAGATAGAGACCTTAGTAAAATCCAAAACCCCCGATTATTCAGGTTAAAGGAGAAACCCTCAGGTACAGATTCACCATTCAGCACTGCCCTGGGAAATGGCACAGAGCCTCCGATGCTGTCTCTCGTAACCCAGCAGACATCTCACAGGCACTCCTAAATGTATTCACTGTTGAACCCTCTCAATCAGACATCATAGAGTCTGACAACATGGATGACTGGGTCAAATCAAAAAACCTTATTAGCAACATTCGGTGCAAATGACAACCTGGAGCTCATCTCAGCAGACGTTATCCGTACGGCGGGACGCAGCGACCCGCAATACAAAAAAATTAATAGAAGTAATACAAAACGGATTCCAAAGAACGCGCATCCTCACTGCACCTGAAATCCGCGAATATTGGGAAGTGAGGCACCGCCTAAGTGTTGACGACGGGTTAGTGCTCTTAGATCAAAGAATTGTTATCCCCACCTCACAACGCACAAAAATATTACAGCCTACATTCTGCACATCAAGGCGAAGTTGGCATGAAGGCACGTGCCAATGAATCTGTTTATTGGCACGGGATGAATGCTTCAATTCGTAAGATTAGAGCAGGTTGTACGTTCTGCTCAAAAATTGCCTCGAGTCAACCAAAAGTGCCAATCAATTTTACACCATCTCCTGATTGGCCATTTCAGCAAATCGTCATCGACATCTTCCATGTTGGAAACCATGGTTACTTAGCATGCGCTGACAGGTTAACAGGCTGGCTGAATCTATACCACTTGAGCCACGGAGAAGCTAATGCCTCAAGGATTATTTCGATTTGCCGAGACATATTTCAAACCTACGGCGCTCCTGAGGAACTCAGCAGTGATGGTGGGCCACCTTTCATCTCTTCCATTCAAGCAATTTTTGCAAGACTGGGCTGTTAAACAAAGGTTATCATCTGCTGGTTACCCACAATCCAATGGTCGAGCAGAGCTCGCTGTCAAAACAGCCAAGAGAATCGTAAATGGCAACACAGGAGCCCAAGGATCATTGGATAATAACCGT